AGAGATCATCCTCTCTCCACTGAATTGCCTTTGCTCTTTTTTTAAAAAAGAGTTAATTTATTTATTTGACAGAGAGAGAGAGAGAGACACAGCGAGAGAGGGAACACAAGCAGGGGGAGTGGGAGAGGGAGAAGCAGGCTCCTCGCTGAGCAAGGAGCCTGACGCGGGGCTTGATCCCAGGACTCTGGGATCATGATCTGAGCTGAAGGCAGATGCCCAATGACTGAGCCACCCAAGGTCCTGTGCCTTTGCTCTTTTCTTAAAGATCAGTTCACTATATTTTTGTGGATCTATTTCTGAACTCCCTATTCTGTTCCAGTGATCTGTGTGTTCTTTCACAAAAACATGTTATCTTGATTACAATTAGTGTTTTCTTTTTTTAAAATTACACTTGTACATTTTTCTTTTTATACCTTCAAGAGCCAGTTTTGAATTTCTTTGCTCATTCTAGCTCGTTTCTTTATTATTTCTTTTCTCCTTCTTTTTTTAAAAGATTTTATTTATTTGGGGTGCCTGGGTGGCTCAGATGGTTAAGCATCTGCCTTCAGCTCAGGTCATGATCCCAGGGTCCTGGGATCGAGTCCCGCATCGGGAGCCCGCTTCTGCCTCTCCCGCTGCCTCTTTCTCTCTCTCTTTCTCTCTCTCTCTCTCTGACTCTCATGAATAAATAAATAAAACATTAAAAAAATTAAAAAAAAAGATTTTATTTATTCGACAGAGAGAGACATAGCGAGAGAGGGAACACAAGCAGGGGGAGCAGCAGGTAGAGGGAGAGGGAGAAGCAGGCTTCCCGCCGAGCAGGGAGCCCGATGTGGGACTCCATCCCAGGACCCTGGGATCATGACCTGAGCCGAAGGCAGACGCTTAACGACTGAGCCACCCGGGCGCCCCATTACTTTTTTTCTTGACCTTGTTAATTGTTTTCTCTAGCTTCTTCAGTTAAATTAGTTAAGCTCATTTCATTTTCTCTTAAAATATGTATATTAGTCTTCTAGGACTGCCATAAAAAAAAAAAATACCACAGGTTGGGTGGCTTAACCAGCAGAAATTTATTTTCTCACAGCTCTGGAGGTTTGAAGTCCAAGATCAAGGTGCTGGAAAATTCATTTTTCGGTGAGGTCTCTCTTCCCAGCTTGCAGATGTCCACCTTCTCCGTGCCCTCATCACCTTTTCTCTGTGCCAAGGGAAGTGGGGAAAGGGATAAAGAGATCTCTGGTGTCCTTTCCTCTTCTTATAAGGCCATAAATTCTGTTAGATTAGGGTCGGACTCAGTGACCTTATTTAGCTTTAATTACCTCCTTAAAGGCCCTGTCTTTGAACACAGGCACACTGGAGGCTAGGGCTTCAACATGCACGTTTTGGAGGGATACAGTTTGGTCTATAACAATATGATAAAAGCATCATTGCTATGAATTTATTTCTGAATATAACTTTATCTCTAAAGTGCGTTCTTTAGTGCATGGTGTCATCACTATTCTCTACACATTGTTATTGTGTACTTCTTTCCTTATTGATCTAATAGTTAATTGGAAAATCATGGTGACTTTCCCTTGTTCTCCAGAATTTTTTATAAGCCCTATATTTTAAAAGCTAATACAGAAATTTATAATATTGCTTTGATATTTTGAATTTATTGAAATTAGTCTAATAGAATGGTTCTCAATTCTAGGGGACATTTGGATATGTGCATTTTTGGTTGGCATCATGATGTGCAGTGGGGGAAGGCTTCATGTAGTTCACAGGGGTGAGAACTTCTAGATCTCCATGCTATAGGCCAGCCATGAGGAACTGTGGTGTGTGTGTGTGTGTGAGAGAGAAAGAGATTGAGAGAGCAGGGGATGAATTTCAGGCCCTGTCTCTAAACATGGCACGCTGCCATTGCTTTGCTGCTATCAGTAAGTTGTGGAGCACTGTGTGTGGAGTCTCCTTTCAGAGTTGCAGGTGTGCAGTGAGGCAGAGCCCACTCTGCTTTGGGTTTCCTCCTTTTCTTTGGGGGTCTCAATCCACTTTCAGGATTTCAACTATCTCCAAGGGAACACTTACTAGGGAGTAGCCTCACACTTGTGTCTACTCTAAACTTATTTCCTCTGATGCTCTTCTAGATTCTTCTCCACTGTCTGGGATGGGGCTTTAATTTCTTCCTTAGGTGGCATGAAACAACTTAAATCCCATCCTGCAATTTTTCTCTTTTAAGACTCTTATTTAGAATGTGCTTAGTCCTTCAAACTCTGACTCATGATCTCTGAAGGGAGATTTTTTTGCCCCCACATAAATATTTGTAGTGAGGAGAGGGATCTTGTAAAATTTCCTATTAAATTTAATTTTGGTATAATTTCAGACTTAAAGTCTCAAGAAAAGCACAAAGAATTTTCAAAAACCCTTTATCCAGATTCTCCAAGTGTTAACATATTGCCACATCCTCCTATGTCTCTGTCTCTCTCTGTCTAGATGTGTCTCCCCTCTGTCTCCCTCTTCACACAAGGACACGTGCTTGTGTGCACACACACAAGTCAAGAAATTAGCACTGATTCAATACTATTGTCCAATCTACAGACTTTCTTCATATTTTGCCAATTGTCCCACTAAAATCCTTTCTAACCAAAGAAAATCCCTTATCACATATTGCACTTAGTTGTCATGTCTCTTTAGTCGTTCTTTGTGTTTTATGACATTGGCATTTTTGAAGACTATAGGCTTGATATTTTGTAGACTGTTCCCCCGTCTGGGTTTGTTTCTATTTCCACCAAATTAGGTTCAGGTTATGCATTTTTGGCAGGGCTCCCACTGTGTCCTCAATGGATCCTATCAGAAAGGGTGTGATGTAAAAATTGTCGCATAACTGGTGAGGTGAACCTTGATCACTTGGTTAAGGTGGTGTCTGCCAGGTTTCTCCGCTGTAAAGGTACTGGTTTTCCTTTTGTACTGAGTAAGTCATCTTTCAGGGAGATACTCTGAAGCTATTGTGTCATTCTTCAAACTTTCATCCACGACATTTACCATCCATTGGTGATTCTTACCTGAATCAGTTATTATTATGATGGTTACCCAATGATTATTTTCTAATTTCATTACTTCTTCTATAGTAATTCCTTTTTTTTTTTTTTATTGTAAGGAAGAGTTTTCTAAAGCAGGACTTTGGAAATTCAGAAAATGTTTTTTATTTTTTCTCTTGAGGAGTTAAGCTCCTGAAATTGAATAACTGACTTTCAAAACTGTTGTCTTTTTTTTTTTAAAGATTTTATTTATTTGAAAGAGAGAGAGATCACAAGTAGGCAGAGTGGCAGGCAGAGGGAGAGGGAGAAGCAGACTCCCTGCTGAGCAGAGAGCCTAATTCGGGACTCGATCCGAGGACCCTGGGATCATGACCTGAGCCGAAGGCAGATGCTTAACCGACTGAGCCACCCAGGTGCCCCAGAACTGTTGTCTCTTAAGCTCAAAGCTGAGCTCTGAGGCCTTTGCTCTAGGCTGTACTCACCTTCTGTCTGAGGTACTGAGTGTACAGAATACCACTGAGACCATTGTTGAAGAGCCACAGGATCACAAGAATCATTTTAGCCTGGGAAAAGCCCTTAGGTTAAAATTATCTCCAAATATCACCTTGCTGTAACAGTTTTTAGTACTGCAAGTTCTCATATTTTTGTGTCTTTCTAGGTGCTTCGGTATAAAAGTGAATGAAACTGGGGGCGCCTGGGTGGCTCAGTCCTTTAAGCATCTGCCTTCAGCTCGGGTGATGGTCCCGGGGTCCTGGGATCGAGCCCCACATCGGGCTCTCTGCTCTACGAGAAGCCTGCTTCTCCCTCTTCCACTCCCCCTGCTTGTGTTCCCTCTCTCGCTGTGTCTCTCTCTATCAAATAAATAAATAAAATCTTAAAAAAAAAAAAAAAGTGAATGAAACTGCTATTAAAAAGGAACTATGGGATCAAAAATAAATATATTACCACTCGAAAAGGACTTTAAACCTTTCTGTATTTTACACAAAAGTAGCTTACCCCTCTTCCACCCAAGGTTTACACCACTGATCTGCTAGATTAACTCATCAAAGATCATGTGGGATTAACATTGTAATGTCAATCCCAATGATGCTCCATTGTTTTGAATTCTGAATTAGGGAATTGGAATCGGTACATTTCTTTTTACCCTCAGACATTGTATGTTTTGAATTGGGTGATATTTGTGTTTTGGGGTGAATGTATCTTCTGCCAACTTCCTTTGCCTGTATCATCTCTAAGAGGGTGCTTGAACCAGGTTTGTTTCAGAGATAGGTGGTGGATACTATAATATCCCCAGGCTTGCAATGTTTCTGAGGCAAAAACAGTTCTGGGCCACAACCTGGCAGAGTCTCTCATGTTAAGGCGTGGAGACTTAAAAGGAAAGGTTACTTGTTTATGTTAGCAGTTTCTTACAGATACACAGAGTCTACGTTAGCTAAAAGGAGAAAATAAAATAAATTACATTGAAACAAGAAGAGTTGAAAAAAACACAATTTCCTAATTTCTTTATGGGTATTAGCCCAAGAGCATAAATCCCAGAGCTATCCCAAAGAAAGAAAGCTAACTGCTAAGAGTGTCCTGGTTTTCTCTTTCAGACACATGCTTTTATCTTAATGACCATATATCTGAAATCTATTTGGGGATCCAAAAGAAAAAACCCCACGAAGTTATTCAGTGTGCATATTCTCTATATTATGAATGTTGGAATTTGGATACATTAACTCCAGAGAGTTAATGTGATATGTTAGCACACACTTGTACATCCTCTTTGCATAGAAGTCCTAGGGAAATGCTTCTTGACTATTTTGATTTTCTGCTGTTTGTTTCAGTGCCTAATGTGTATAAAGATGATTATCATTTCTACCTGGAAGTGACATCTTAAGAAATGTGTATGTAGAGGGGATTGAGGAATATTGCAGAGGATGTTAGATCTTCCTTTTAAACAACTGTTCATGTAGGCAATTTCTTACTTATTTTGTGTATTGAACGAGTGATTTTTTAAATCAGTAGATCCTTCTCAATATGAGCATGAAGACACCTTTTTCTCAGTGTTTCACACTCAAGTCCCTCCAGAAGAATATGAAAACCGTATACAGAATGTTAATCAAGGTATGTTTCGATTTGTGTGATTTTGCATATTGTCATAAGAAAATACTAGCTATACACAGAAATATTCACAGATGAAATAATTTGATGTGATTTAATCCAGAGGTAGGTGAAAGTAGGTTAAGGTTCTAGATGAAACAAGATTGGTCACAAGTTAATCATTGTTGAAGTTAATTGTTGAGGGTTTATGATACCATTCTTTCTACTTTTGGATATTTAAATTTTATGTAATAAAGAGTTAAAGAAAAGCTGGTTTCAAGTAATAGAAAACTAGCTTAAGCAAAAAAGAAAATTTATGAAAATAATCCTGGAGGTAGACAGCTTTTTTCATTCCCAAGAGCAAATTCTGTGGTTAGTCATTGAGAGGGAGACTCAATTTCAAAATTGCAGAGAAGACAACAACTGATCCAGCTTGGGTTAGGTGCCTGCCACTGATCCAACCAACTCATCCAACCCAGCAAGGGTTGGGGTTAATATAGGAACGTGGCAACTTCTACTGTTGGTCAACACCAGGGTGGAGAGGAGAAGACATTTCTAGTGAGACAGTTCTGACCAGACAACCCAATGTTTTTCACTACAATTTAAGAGACTATTATAAATGTAGACATGAATGCATTTAATTTGAGTTATTTTAATGTTGTATTATTTAGGAGTATATGAAACTTAAACTGAATGAGTAAACCTCATATTTCAACTTAAAAGACTATATACAACTTGGATTATGGGAAAAAGTTGCATATTTTATATCTAAGGAGGCCACTCACCAAAAAAAACCCCTCATACTTTACTGGTAGTTGATTAAAAAACATTATTGATCGGGCACCTGAGTGGCTCAGATGGTTAGGCATCTGCCTTTGGCTCAGGTCATGATCCTGGGGTCCTGGGATCGAGTCCCTCATCGGGCTCCCTGCTCCTTGAGAGCCTGCTTCTCCCTCTGCTTCTCTCTCTCTCTCTCTCATGAATAAATAAATAAAATCTTTAAAAAAAAAATGGGGCACCTGAGTGGCTCAGTTGGTTAAGCGTCTGCCTTCGGCTCAGGTCATGATCCCGGGGTCCTGGGATCGAGTCCCACATCAGGCTCCCTGCTCCTTGGGGAGCCTGCTTCTCCCTCTGTCTCTGCCTCTCTCTCTGTGTGTCTCTTATGAATAAATCAAATCTTTCAAAAAAAAGTTATTGATCAAATAAATAAAATCCCAATGATAAAATACAGATTGATTTGCCTAGAAACTTGTAACTTAAATTTGAGTGAAACTTCATTCTTACTCAAATTTATTTTTGTTTGAAAAGAATTTAAATCCAGAGATCTTGCCCTTTTCCTGGTCCTTTCCAGCTTTTGTTATCAAAATATATTCTTTAATTATTAAATTTGTATTGAATCTTTGATAACTATCTATAAATATACCAACTGACTAGCTCCCTTAATCCTTCTTATTGACATACCCTCTTTTATAAGACAAAGATAACTTTTAAGTAAACCTTGTCTGGATTGAGCTACTGGCTGGTGTTTTTCCCTTTTGGATTTTAATGTGGTAATTTATCCTCTCTTGTAGGGTGGACTCCAATTGTCGTTTAAGAAGACTCTTCTTTATGCCTGTTTTTAGAGCTTTAAAGAAGCGGTCACATGATCTTGTTTTAAATGCTTTAAACGTGACCACAGTGAAAACAAGATATATAATAAAGGGAATAAGAGTCCATAAGTATTTTTCTTACCCTTGTTTTGAGCACCCAGGGTCTGAACACCTCGGAAGTTGACTCAGGCCTCTTTTCCAAGGTTGAGAAAAATGACAAACTAAGATGAGCTCTTAGGGTTTGTGCAGATGGGATGTCGAACATCCAGGACCCTTGTGCCCAGACTTTGCTTAAAAGACAGGTTTGAACAAAAAGTTACTGTTCAGAGAGGGTGATGGCATATTAATAGAATAACAGGAAATGACTCTAGTCTTTAGGGAAAATTTTGTTTCCTATAAAAACCGAGATAAAATATATTGTATTAATTAATTAGCTTCATTGGAGTATAGTTGACACACGTTACACTAATTTCAGGTTACAACATAGTGACTCAACAAGTTTACACAGTAATCTGTGCTCACCACAAGTGTAGCTCCCCTCTGTCACCATGCGACACTATTATGATACCACTGACTATATTCCTTATGCCGTGCCTTTCATCCCCGTGACTTACTCATTCACTAACTGGAAGCCTGGGTGTGCCACTCCCCTTCACCCATTTAGCCCATCTCCTCAAACTTCTCCCCTCTGGCAACCATTGTTTTGCTCTCTGTATTTATAGGTATGATTCTTTTTTTTTTATTATTATGTTATGTTAATCACCATACATTACATCATTAGTTTTTGATGTAGTGTTCCATGATTCACTGTTTGCGTGTAACACCCAGTGCTCCATGCAGAACGTGCCCTCCTTAATACCCATCACCGGGCTAACCCATCCCCTCACCCTTCTGCCTTTTGTTTCCTTATTTATCCATTTGTTTTGCTTTTTAGATTCCACCTATGAGTGAAATCATATGGTAATTGTCTTCCTCAGTCTGACTCATTTCACTTAGCATAATACCCTCTAGGTTTATCCATGTTGTCACAAATGGCAAGATCTTTCCCTTTTTTATGGCTGAGTAATATTCTAGTGTCTGTGTGCGTATATGTGTGTGTGTGTATCACATCTTTTTCCGTAAGAGTAAATCTCCATATATATTAGGTTTCTGGATTTGGAATTTAGAAGTTATTCTATATATGTTTTATTTCTTATATATTTTAATGCATGCTTATATATTTTAATGTTTGCTTTCTTTTTTTTTTTTTAAAGATTTTATTTATTTATTTGACAGAGAGAGACACAGCGAGAGAGGGAACACAAGCAGGGGGAGTGGGAGAGGGAGAAGCAGGCTTCCCGCCGAGCAGGGAGCCTGACACGGGGCTCGATCCCAGGAACATGACCTGAGCCGAAGGCAGATGCCCAACGACTGAGCCACCCAGGCGCCCCTGTTTGTTTTATTTCTTATATATTTAATGTATATATATATTTATGCTTAAATTTAAAATTTTAGCATAATGGACAATTATAATTATGAAAAACTTTGAACTTTTTTAATATTAGATTTTACCTACAATGTGGGAGGAAACGAGTCATTGATCAAAGCAGAAAAGAAACCTTTTTCAAATACAGAAAAGACTGAGCTCAGGGGTAAACACAGCCAGGATTTTATTAAGCGAAACATTGAGGTATGTACTTAGAAATTTAGAAATCAGAATATGGGATTAAATGAGTTATGAAAATGAAAATAGTTGTGTTCAAGGTCTTTAAACATTTTTTTTGATCATGATACATGTATATGTAATTGAAATAGTATATATAACTGAAAGAAAAGTTTTATGGACCAGTACCTAACTTCGCTATTTTTTATTCCATCCTATCTTATTCTACCCCTTCTAAAAAAGCTGGCTGCAATTCAGTATGTTTATTTCACTACCCAGAAATGAATCTGGTTCCTGCAGTTTGAAACACATTTATTTAGATAATAGCTTCAGACAATGTTTCCCAGATTTTAAATTGCATATTAGTAAAATTGGCTTTTTAAAGTCATGAGACTGAGTTTATAGCTGGTGCATTTAGAAATTTTCATGGAATATTCTCCTGGCAGAGCTGGAGAGGCCAACGGGTTGTCTGCCCCTTGCCCCCTCCAGCTGAGCCTCCAGGAAGCCTGTCACTTGTCACTTGCCTTGATTAGCTCCCTGCTTCGGGGGATCAACCTTGGTCTTTCAGACCCTACAGCCTGACTTGGTATGTCCTCAAGGCAGACTAACCCAGGGCTAAGGGGCTCCTCTATTAGACCAGAATGCTGATTAACTTATTTACAACAAGAAACGTAGGTGCAGTGGACAGAAGGCTTGTGACAAACCACCCGGGCAGTTACTAGATGAGTTACTAGGTGAGTGTGAAGTTATTCACAAGAGGAGAGAGTTAAATAATTCCTCCCAGTTCAAGCCTGATGCTCCTTCCACAGTTGGCACGTCATTTCCAGGCAGACTGGATTCATGCCAGAACTGGCCTCTAACTTTTTCTATTCATGTTTCTCTGATCTGAAGGAAACCCTCTCCAACTTGATGTTGTCTCTTTGCACTGGCCCATGTTGATTTATTTCATTTTTCCAAGAGCAGTAGCGTTTTTCTCATAGCCAGGTTCTTGCTGACACAGACAGCTGCCCCACCGTGACTCTCCCTCTTCCTCTTTTAACAATAGTAGCTGAGTCTTTATTCAAAGTCCTGCTATGATAGTATTGAAATTTAAAAGCAAGTTCATTTAGGAGAGAGTGGGACGTCTGGTTTGCAAGTGGGCACCTTCATTTTGGGTGCAGTGGAAGAGCGATTTTAAAATGGGTGATGTTGAGAAGGACAAGAAGAGTTTTGTTCCAAAGCGTGCCCAGTGCCATATGGTGGGAAAGGGAGGGAAGCGTGAGACTGGGCCAAATATCCGTGGTCTGTTTGGGTGAAACACAGGGCAGGCCCCTGGATTTTCTTAGCTGGGTGCCAACAAGAACAAAGGCAGCACTTGGGGAGAGGAGACACCGATGGAGTATTTGGAGAATCCCAAGAAGCACATCCCTGGAACAAAACCGATCTTCACTGGCATTAGGAAGACGGGAAAAAGGGCAGACTCGATAGCTTCTAACGCACAACAGTTGGCCACTGCCTCGTTTATTGCAAAACAAGAATGTCTCATGACTTCTTCTATGTGTACTGTATTTAGATTGATCTCATACACCAGAACTCAGATCATGAATGGCTGATGGGATATTTCTTTTGGACAGTCCTGATTGAAATAAGATTGGCTTGTGGTTAAATGAGTATGATCTGCTTTTTTTTTTTTTTAGAGATTTTATTTATTTATTTGACAGAGACAGCGAGAGAGGGAACACAAGCAGGGGGAGCGGGAGAGGGAGAAGCAGGCTTCCCGCCGAGCTCGATCCCAGGACCCTGGGATCATGACCTGAGCCGAAGGCAGACGCTTAACGACTGAGCCACCAGGCGCCCTGTAATTCTGGTTCAGCCAGTGCTGTCACTGTTTTCCCCTTCTAGAAAGATGATTGGAATTGACTGGTAATGTTCAACTTTTCACAGAGATGGTAAATGCCATCTCTAAACCTGGAGGAGATGGGTTTTCTACTGAGATTTATATAACTGTTAGGTTAATTTAAATACTGAGGGAATCCCTTCACTATCTCACAGAACAGCAAGACTCTGCTGTGTTTCATGTCATGTTCATTAGCTTGTTAAAGGCAAGGACTCAAGATAAGCTGGCAATGTCCACTTTCTCTTTTTTGTCTTTTTTTTTTTTTTAAAGATTTTATTTATTTGAGAGAGAGAGAGAACACAAGTGGGGTGAGGGGCAGAGGGAGAAGCAGACCCCCTGCTGAGCAGGGAGCCTGATGTGGGGCTCGATCCTGGGACTCCAGGATCATGACCTGAGCCAAAGGCAGACATCCAACCGACTGAGCCACCCAGGCGCCCCTCTTTTTGGTCTTAACTCTGCCAATTTAATTAAAATTCCCTGCATCTAAAATGTTGCCTTTTGTTTAATGAAAGGCATTTTCATGTGGTTAATGTATAATATTAAACCAGAATATTTAATACTTCTCACATTTTATTGATGATCTATAACATCAGATACTTTTAGAATTCAGTGTGACAGGATACAGTAGCAAAACTTGGCTTGTGAATTCTTCACTAAGATGAAGTTATAATTCAGGATTGACTTTTAAACAGCTTTTTGAAAACATAACTGTAGAATTACCACATATGCATGATTGGTAATGGTGCTTTTACCAACTCATTAGAAGGATTAAAGTTGAGGAAATATACCATTAGCACAAATTTGAAAATTATGTGATAAGACTTCAAATAATTAAAATAAAATCACAGATAAAAAAATAAAAGCAATTTCATTCAGTAGATCCATGTCACGTAGGAAGTGGCAAGAAGATTCCTTCCAAATACCTCAGCAAATACATTATTACATTGATAAAGAGGTTTGCAAACTGCCCATGTTTGTTTTATTTTATATTTTATTTATTTTTTTTAAAGATTTTATTTATTTATTTGAGAGAGAGAATGAGAGAGAACACGAGAGGGAAGAGGGTCAGAGGGAGAAGCAGACTCCCCGCCGAGCAGGGAGCCCGATGTGGGACTCGATCCCGGGACTCCAGGATCATGACCTGAGCCGAAGGCAGTCGCTTAACCAACTGAGCCACCCAGACGCCCTTATTTTATATTTTAAATAAAATGTTTGTTGAAATGGCTAACATGAGGGCCTGCTTATAGTAGGAGTATCTTTACTTGGAGAATGGACCTACAGCAAAAATTTGGCATAAAAGATAACTACCTCAAAAATGAAAAATGCCTAATCCCACAGATTTTACCTTAGTGTATCTGTGCTATAGAAGCCTCAGTTCCCATTTTTATTTTCCTGAACTATGAATTGTCTTGAGTATTTACTATTTTTTTTAATACATTCCGTAGTTGGCCAAGGATTCAGGAAAGCCAGTGGTTATGGTTGACAGAGAGAGGAAAAGGCTGACTGAACTTTTGAAGGACTTAGATGACAGAGATTCGGGGCTGTCCTGTCCTGAGGTATGTAAGCTTCGATATTCAATGACCTCTACACTTCTTCTTCTTCTTCTTCTTCTTCTTCTTCTTCTTTTTTTTTTTTTTTGTAGCTTCAATTTTTTATTTAAATTCCAGTTAGTTAACACAGTATGTAATATTAGTTTCAGGTATAGGACTCAGTGATTCATCACGTACATACAACACCCAATACTCAGTGCTCATCACAGCATGTGCCCTCCTTAATCCCCGTCACCTATTTAAACCATCCCCCCATCAACCCTCAGTTTGTTCTCTGTTGTTAAGAGTCTGTTTTATGGTTTGCCTCTCCCCCCTCATGTTCATTTGTTTTGTTTCTTAAGTTCCACCTATGAGTGAGATCATATGGTATTTGTCTTTTTCTCACTGATTTATTTCACTTAGCGTAATACTCTCCAGCTCCGGCTACTGCAAAACATGCCTAATCTTGTCTGATCTTGGAAGCTAAGCAGGGTTGGGCCAGGTTAGTACTTGAATGGGACACTATACTTCTTACTTTTTTTTTTTTTAATTAACATATAATGTATTATTTGTTTCAGGGATACAGGTCTGTGATTCATCAGTCTACACAATTCACAGCGCTCACCATAGCACATACCTTTCCCAATGTCCATCACCCAGCCGCCCCATCCCTCCCACCCCCCACCACTCCAGCAACCCTCAGTTTGTTTCCTGAGATTAAGAGTCTCTTATGGTTTGTTTCCCTCTCT